TTTCATTGCTAACAGCAGTAGTGTCAATGAGGCAGCCCAAAAGAAACTTGAAATAAACTGCTGCTTTAGATAAAATTGATTACAATGGATAAGCTACCTGTGCCAAGACATCTTTGTTTATGCTGGTGACATAGCCAGAAAGAGAGAGATGCAGGTGCTGTGTGAGAAGTTAAGACTGGGTATCAAGAATAATCCTCTGAAATTGTACCATCAATAATTTATCTCCAAACTTCTCTTAGATTTGTAAGTGGTGACACATTTGTTCCCTGATAGTATTGTAAAAAACATGGTTAAAGTGTTGGGAGTATGGAGTGTTGGCTGTGATATTTAATGTCTTTTGTTCTTTCCTCAGCAGAATGGATCTTCAATATAAAGTAAAATTATGTCTGTGCAGGTCAGATCTCATTTTTATCATGAGACTTTGAAGTGGTTACTATATTCAGTTTTTCACTAGCATCAAAATCCATTACAGTAATATAGACAGATGGTAGGACTGCATCTCTCTTAATTTGAGTTATTGCTGAATTACAGCTGAAAGTATGTATGATAAAGTTTGCAACTGAGGACTTGATTCAGATGTGCATGCAGAGGTGTTTACTGTCATTTAAAATTTCCAAAGTTGTTCTCTTTGGCCTTTAGTGACCACTCCAAAAGGACATGGGTCAAGTTTGCTTTAGAGTCTGCGTCTTAGCTGTCAGATCTGCACAGATGTTTTATATACCCCATGATGACTCAAATGCAGCAGATTTCTCTATGGGGGCAATTGAACTGAGTCTTGATTATTGATCTTACCTTTAGTGTCCTTCACTTCCAATTGCTTTTCTCCCAGCAGTGAGAATTAAAATTCTGCAAGAGCAGTAGAATGATAGAATGCATTATTTTTCCTGGGTAATTAACAGTGTCTTTGTCAGAAATGATTAATAATCTAGTTGTTAATGTTCCTAATAATGCTGGCAACTGGAAATCATAATTGAAAGCCTGAAAGATAAGTGTATGGAAAGGAAACTGTGAACAGCATTATCAATACATTGATGATAAAATTCATCAGCATACTAACTGCATAGAGTGGAAGTATAGGGCTTTCTACATGGTTTATATCCCAGAGAGAACTAAAAAAATGACTATGACATTTTGATTAATAACCCATTGTATATCCAGCACTCCTGTGAATTTGTATGGCCAGAATGGAGGTTCATGTTATCACAGCATTATATGAACTAACACTAAATTAGAAGTCTCAAAATGCAATTGTAAACTGTCAATAGTTAGCAGGTTTTGTTTGTTCTAATGTTTTATTCTAATGAACAGATCTTATATTTTTCACATTTTTATCAATGACCTAGGAAAAAACATTACAATTTCTACTGATGTATGGATGTACAATTCCTGTTGGTGTATACCGGGGATGTTGATTCATAGAGCAGTCGAGATTCTGTGATAAGTTAGGTGCAAAGAAAGAATATATGTTTTAGATGGTGAAAGGCTCTAAAGATATTGTGGCAGTTTAGATGAGCTTATGCTCACAGTGTAATGCTATGGCCACATAAGCAGAAACAGTATATTAATTCTCTCTGTTTTTTTTTTTTTCTGGCAAGACTACTGCTGGCATATTATGTCCAGTTCTGCTTCTGCAGTTTTAAAAGGTTGATGACAAATTGGAAGAGAGTCAGAGGAGAGCAATGAGAATGGTTAAAGGGCTTGAAACTATGCCTGAAGATAATGAAAGGCTCCAGGAACTTAATCTATTTAGCTTTCAAAGAGAACATCAAGAGACTGTTTCAATCCACTCTATAAGATCACAGGAAAGAGAAATTTGGTAAAAAAGGTCTCCTCACAGTAACAGATAAAGTTATGTCAAGAATCAAATGGTTCAAAGCTGATGCTAGAGATAAATAGCATATTTTATTAAAACAAATTAAATTCCATTACCAGAGTAACTTTTCAAGAACTATGAAAAATTATTTCTCAGCAGACTTTTTCAGTCCAGATTGGTCGTTTTTCCTGTACTATACGCTGACATTCAGACTGGAGCAAATTCAAGGTTTTTCTTTTTCATACATTATTTGAGGGGTCAGATTAGATAAGGGAAAAAGATCTATTCTTACTGTATATCTGTAAATACACAACTGAAGTGATATTCCTGTAATGAAAACATAGTTTGAAACATGTTTTATTAAATGCATTTTATTTTTTATATGTGCTTGAAATATGTCCTCACTCAATAAGAACAGCCATGTCTAACTAGCAGTCAGATATGTGTTTGGTGCTAGGAGTATCTCTTAGAAAACTGGAGATACTGTTTTCCCAAAACAGCTGGAGATTTCTCTTCTTTCATTAAATGGTATTAATGAAAAGTTAATGTAGCCATTATATGCTGCTGATAAATGAATAAGGTTGAGCCCTTGAATGCAAGGTTTATGTGGTCACTATGTGACACAAGACACTGGTGCTTGAGACTAATTATGTTACTTCAAACTGAATTTCAGGTGCATTAATTACAGTCTTTCTTTTCAACAGGCCCATGCTAAAGTCTGGCATCTCTACAACGATCATTTTCGTCCGACTCAAAGAGGAAAAGTGTCCATTGCCCTTAGCTCCCACTGGATAAAACCTCAAAATATGACTGAAAAAAATATAAAAGAATGCCAAAAATCGCTTGATTTTGTGCTTGGCTGGTTTGCTAAGCCCATATTTATTGATGGCGAGTATCCAGAGAGCATGAGGAGTAACCTGTCATCTCTGCTGCCCGAATTCAGTGAAGTTGAGAAGAAATACATCAAGGGAACAGCTGACTTCTTTGCTCTGTCATTTGGAGCGACCCTGAGTTTCCAGCTCTTGGACTCTCACATGAAATTCCAGCAGTTGGAATCAATAAGCCTGAGACAGCTCCTTTACTGGATAAGCAGTGAATATAACAACCCCAAAATATTCATTGTGGAAAACAGCTGGTTTGTTTCTGGTAGCACCAAGAGAGATGATGCCAAATATATTTATTATCTCAAAAAGTTCATCATGGAAACTTTAAAAGGTAGGACTGAGGTTGTATTAATATATGCTTGGCAGAATCGTTATGCAAAATAGCCTACTGAGACTCATTAATGAACCAGTCTGAGAATTAATTCTGGTATTTAACATTCATCTAGGCACTTGTGAAATGAGACTCCACATCACTTCCTTGAGTTTCTTCTCAGCTCTTGAAGACCTTTAATATCTCTAGATATCATTTTGTGTGCTTGATTCTGCTGTCTTTGAAGTCACATGTAACTACTGTCTTTAGTGGGAGGAAGTGCAAAATCAGTGTGAACTATGTACTCTCTGTGGACAGAAGGAAATTTGCTGCGTTATTTATTAATGATTACTTTCCATATTTTAGATACCTGAATGCATATATACCAGGGGTAAGAGTATATATGTTGAAAGGTAAATTTTATCTGACAGGAATTCCTCTGAATACAGCAGAAGGCTGAAAGAATACATTTTAAAATGAAAAATTGGAAACTTTTTCATTCTTCATCTCTTTTGCCTTTGCAGAGGCTTTACATTAATACAACTCTTGACATCAGTCACAATGATCTGAATTTACACGAATTTGAGGAAAACCAAGTGTTTGAGATTATATAATCTGAATTAAGTTGCTGACCAATTCTCTTTTCAAATACACTACCTTCTATGACGGATATTTTCTATTTTCACATTTCCTTGTGACAAAACAAATTCTTTCAATCATCAATAAATTGTTGGTATAATTAATTGACATTTCCACCTTTATTGACTTTAATGTCTTAATTTACAATTTAGTAATTGATTTCCATGTCTACAGTTTGTTGTTCTGGTTTTAAAAACATTTTTGTTATAGCTGTTTGTTCCTACTAGATAGCATTTGTATTACATTGCTATTTTCAGAGACGGGAATAGTAAAAATGACTTCCATTTTCTTCTCAACACTCATAAAAATATGTGAAGAACTCCCACATTTGTTTCATCTGCTACTCCAGAAACCTAATCATTGCAATAAATTAAAAGGTGAATGAATATGTGAGTCGGTGCATCCAAAATGGCAGGAATTGAATGCCAAACAGTTGCTAATTATTGTATGTACAGTAATACTAGTTAGCATGAGGTCAGATGAAAAGCTACAAAAGATCGTGGTCCTGTTACCCATGTTTCTACTCAGTTTGTAAATTGCTGGACATATATACATGGATCCATCTTCTAATCAGAGCTGTCTGGAAACAATCTCAATTTATAGATTTTCTTCCCTTTTAATGCACCACTCAGTAAATAATAATAGCAGCAACTACAACAACAGTAGTCTATCCATTATACTAATTTATGAATGCCAGTACTTGGCTAAAGTTTTTACAGAAAAAAAACAAAGACAGAGGACTGGATCTACGGTAGGGACTTTGGCATCACCGTAATGTAAGTCACTGCACTCAACTTATCTGCCCATTAGAATCTGCAATATCCTGTAAGTATCAACGTTCTCCGTGCAGTACATGGGGAGTATTAGTTAAGAAAGAGATCCATAAAAGCATCACGTTGGCTGTGACAGTGTAAGTTAGACAACAGAAAAGGCCAAAAAGAAAGGCTCTCTCAGAGACTTAGGGCATGTCTATCCTGTGCACTAATTCAGCGCTACAATGCAGAGATTCCTGAACTTTGATTCCTGAACCAAATTCACTCCAGCAATCATGGAGCAGTAAAATGGCATCAGGGGTATTACCTTGAGAGTCAAGGATAGTTAATTTAGACAAAAGGTCAAACAGATGTGGTTTTACTGATTCCAAGATCTGGCTAATATCTCTGCCTGATATGTTGGGTATATGCACTTGTTCAGACAGAACTGGTGCATAGCACTATGTCTACATTAGCAACTAAGTGCAGCCTTATAGGAGCAAACAAATAGAGTAAAAATGGTTCTGGGGTTCTGGTGTTCACGCAATGTGCATTCTTGAGTGAAGGGGTTACTCAGGACTAGCACAAGTTGTCCTGTGGCAGAAGTCACATCAATTGTGCATTCTTGAAGCATGCTTCCAGTTTAATTTTACCCAAAAGCAACCCAGGCCGTGCGTTCTGTGGCTACTCTGTGCTGAGAACCGAGGTGTGGTAAGCAGGGACCATCAGGCAATTTGCTTCAAGAGTGCACTCCTGGTTTTAATTAAAATGCTAATGTAGATGCACACACTCTGACACTGCATGCTGTGGGCAAGCCCCATGCATCTTTTTCTTGGCTGTGGGAAATGGCCCCTACTTATTTGCGATTCACAGCCCCAAAGCCTTTCACTGCTTCTATTATTGATCTCCTGTTTTTAAATGCTTTGGAGGGTTGAATAAAACTGTAATACAAAGTAGTTAAATATTAATTAGAGTTGAAGATTGATTGAAGGTGTCTTTTCACTTGGATGGGTGTCTAACCACTTACTTTAGGTTTCTGTTCACCTCCCTGCTCTCTCTCTGATGCTATGAATAAATTGATTATTCCTTGTAAACTGAAATATGTTGAATAGAAGGGCATGAGAGTTCCTTTATACCATAGTTTTGGCTAACCTAGTGGTTAGGTGATTATCTTGCAAGTTAGCAGATCTGAATTCAAAGAGTCTTAAGCAGAATAGGGGCAGCTAGGTCAGGGCCAACCAATTCTCAGGTATGCTCAGAGGCAAAGCATAGAGTCTTGGGCAGTTGCCACATTGAAACAGGTGCTGTGGGCTTTGCGCACCTCCAGGATGGGACAGCAGCGTAGGGGAAGGTTTTAAGAATCTGAATTTGGTACTTATGAGTCTGTCGTGGTTCCTTGATCTATATCTGTACAATTGAGCTAAAAAGAGCATGAGCTTAAGTGTTGGTAAGAGATAGTCCATGCTGTTTAATTGTTAACACAATTCTCACACCATGCTTGCCTGTGCAGTAGCACGCCTCTGTGCATGCTGGGGGAAATCACTAACGCCAGGAATTATTTCCAATAGGCGATATGGACAAGAGAGTTTAGATTTCAAAGAGACTGGCTTGTGGACTGACAGACACAAAAAAAAAGAGGGGAGATACACCAAGAAAAAAAAGGCTGCCACTTTCCATGTAGTTATTCAATAATGTGCAATGCTTATTCTTACCATGTTTGAGTCTATGAAACATCCAACATTTTTTCAAGTTGCTTTCATAGGTGGCACAAGTTAATGCACTTTTAAAGAAGACTTTGAGGAGAATTTTTATGAGGTGATCAGAAAATGTGGGTGTGCTCTATGGTGACTTACAGAAGGAATGAGATGCTGTTCAAAGAGAAATTCTCACTGTGGCTAGTTAACAAAGTGGACCTGTACTGACTTTTACTCTGCTGGTATGGCAGATCTCATCATGTGTATGTGCAGAGGTTAGAAAAATACCAGTATTTGCTGTACACAAAACAATGATGCCTTTAGGAGGAGAAATATTCCATTTCCTTAGACATTTTCTCATGACCTGTGAAAGAGACTGGGCCAGATTCATTGCTTATGTAACCACAGTTAATTTAATTGATTCAAACAGGGTTACAACCAAGAAACCGTTTGGTCCTTCATAACTGGTTGTAATGAGGTACATTAACACGAAAAGGAAATGAGGATCTTGATATTCTAGTTGCCTGAAATATGCTTTCAGTGTTATTAGGCTGGAAAATATTACGTTCAGTCAGTACCCAGTTTGCGTTTACAGAAGATGGTGAGTAATAAAGATAAACTCTTCTGGCTACTGAGCCAAGCTCGAGTTCAAAAGAACGTTTAAGAATGTGCTTAAATGCACTGCTGAATTAGGGTGGGTCTAATTATGTAATTAAAATAAGCACACTCCTTTGTGCTTTATTGAATCCGAGCCTTGCCCAGGGACATTTTGCTGAATCTCAGTGTTTAATACAGCTAAAAGTGAATATAATTTGTAAATCTCAGTATGGTAATACTAATAGATGCCAGTAGACCCTAGTGTTAACCAGCAAAGGGTGTGGTGATTTATAAAAGCCAGGCAGTGGGTCTAGAATATACACAAATTTTTAGAAACCCTTAAATCTTTAAGCCGGAAAATGGTATGCCATAAAAGATGAAAGGGACAGAATTTTCACATAAAGAAGGTCTTCCTGCCTTATCACTTCTACTGAAAATCTGTAGTAATGGAAATCCATGAAAACATAAAAGTTATATCAGGTTTTATCAATATATTTGGAGAGGAAGGAGAAAAAGGAGTCTAACTTGGTGTACATAGTAGCGCTACATTAATGACCCTTGAGCTGAAACGTCTGCTTAGCCGTGCGCGGTGCAGTGTGGTTGGTTACTAGCTCAGGTGCTGCAAACTGTCTTGACTGTAGCACGTTCTGCTCTGAGGCTAAGGTTTGGCAGGCCTAATTAGCAGCACTTAGCAAACCACTGCCGCACTGCTTTCCTTTCCAAAACTGGCTTATTTAAAGCCCAGCGAGATACCTCTGCTGCCTTGCACGATGCACCCATGCCCCCAGGGCTCCCTGAGTGCAGCTGCAATATATTCCCTGCACGGGCTTTGAAATGGGCCCGCGATACTCATCTAACCTGTCACGTTGTTCTTGCACACGAACGCTGCAGCCATTCCTGATACGGGGCAATCTATGTAGGAAAAGCGAGCACTGTGATGAGTTCATTTCTGTTCTTTCCTCAGCCATCCGGTATGATGGAGTTAATGTGTTTGGATACACAGTCTGGTCCCTGCTGGACGGCTTTGAATGGCACAGGGGATACAGCATTCGACGTGGACTGTTTTATGTTGATTTTCAAAGCCATGACAAGAAGCTGATGCCAAAATCTTCCGTCTTGTTCTATCAAAAGCTGATAGAGAAAAATGGCTTCCCACCTTTGCCTGAAAACCAGCCCACAGAAGGGGTCTTTCCCTGTGGCTTTGCTTGGGGAGTTGTTGACAACTACATCCAGGTAAGTTTGGTGGTAGAGCTGAAAGGCTTCATCTTCCTTGAACATTTATTATTTATGTGTAAAAATTGTAGCTTAGTTATGGTCTCTTTAACAGTTTATCTCTGTAATTCTCAGATGCTATTTTGGCTTACAGAGCTTCTCTGACCACAGTAAAGATCTGCAGTAGAATTCAGCTTTGAGGCTGGGTCCAAGAACAGAATTTTTAATTTAGATTTTCCACAAAGGCAGAATATTTCTTAAGGCTAGAGCATAGAGGGCTTGTTTGTTTTTTCTTACTGCAAAAGTAAGATCTGACTTTCTTCTCCTGAAAAATACTGTAACCTCCTTACCTAATTGCTGAACGTTTTCGTTTCAAAAGACCACTCAAACATTTTGTGCTGTAAGACTTCGGTAGCGTGATTTGTAGATGCATCACAGTGGAAAAACTCTTTTGACAGCATTCCCACAGTATTAGTGGGAATGCATGCCTTAGTAATCTGCAAGGGACAATTCTCCAGAAAAGCAATTTCCCTCAGACATGCTATTTTTTATTACTTTCTTCTATAAGCACAGTACTGACCTCTCCAGAGAAAACAGCAACTGATTTTCAGCAGCTTCTCTATAACCCGCAGAGCTTCAGCTACAAGTTGAACACTGGTTGTAGGCTGACACCTGCTTTTCAAACAGAAGGCAGGACAAGGAAATCTGAACTCGTGGGGACCTTGCACAAAAAAAAAAAAAAAGAAAAAAGAATAAAAGGACAGATAGACACATATATAGCACCAGCACCTTGTAGTTTGGATTTTTTTTTGTAAGAGTTATACTAGAGTATGATTGAGAAGGAAATTTTACGTTGTGCATTACTTTAACTAACTCACTTTTCCATTTTTCCTTGTTATGTTTTTGATATTCATTAAAAAGTGAAAGTATAATTCTAAGGGACCCGGAGAAGCTCATCTTTTACTGTGTCTTTTGTAAATCATACAGGCGCTTCCTACATCCGAAGCCCCAAAGGCTTCAGGTGTAGGCATTGGCCCTGAAGAGAAATGTATTTATTGTTGGAATGACTTATAGTGGTATTATTCAGAAGTCAGAGAAAAAATTTGTTCAGAGATCAACATCCTGTATGTGTTAAATAAAAAGAACTTTTGTGAGAAGCAAGAATTTTACTCATCAACTGAGTTCATGCTAAAAATCAAGTGCAGAGCGTTACTCATCTTTCATCATAGTTAGGAAAAGAAAAATGAACACAGAAATGATGTTGCATTTATTATTTCTGTTGTTGCATTCAGGGAGTGGTCTTGAAGAAGAAGCCACTGGGTAATTTACAACAGGCAATCTCTCTGTAGGCCTTTCAGTGTAGCTTCTTAAATTTGAAATAAGAACATTTTAAAAATTATTATAGTCTTTGCTGAAGATTGCTTCTCTGGAGATCTACTGCAGGCTTACTGCCTTGTCCCTGAGCAATCCCTTGTTTCCCGTACAGAATGAAGTAATCTGGAGAAAATATAAACAGGCTTATGTTAGCATAAGCTTGTGTGGAAAATAGGATGAAAATTATATATATATATATTTGGTACTTTTCTGATATCACATGTTAACAGAAGACTAATTCCTTCTTATGAGTCAGATTTGTTATCGAATCAGAGATGTGACAGAGGTGCTAAATGCAGTGTTTGCACTCATGATGTTCTTTCAGTAAAATGTGCCTGATGGTTAAGATTTTCCTATGCATCTAGAACTGACGACTTGTATCTGGTATGTTTCTTGTTCCTTCCTAGGTAGACACGACACCTTCCCAGTTTCTTGACCCTAATGTTTATGTGTGGGATGTTCATCAGACGAAGCAGCTTATTAAAGTGAATGGGGTTTTTACCTCCAAACGCAAGCGGCACTGTGTTGACTTTGCTGCTATCAGGTTCCAGATCTCTCTTCTGCAGGAAATGCATGTCACACACTTCCATTTTTCACTAAAATGGTCTTTAATTCTTCCTTTAGGTAACCTTTCTCTAATCAATCACACACTTGTACATTATTATCAGTGTTTCGTTAGTGAACTTCTCAGAGTTAACATAACTCCTGTTGTTGCATTATGGCAACCTATGGCTGAGAATCAAGAGCTTCCAGTTTCACTTGCCAAATATGGAGCCTGGGAAAACCCAGAAACTGTTCAGGCCTTTGTTGAATATGCCAAACTGTGTTTTACAAATCTTGGGGACCATGTGAAATTTTGGATCACAATGAACGAACCCTCTGTGAAAAACCTGACATACACTGCCGGGCACAATCTGTTGAAAGCCCATGCAAAAGCATGGCATCTTTATGATAAAGAATTCAGACGATCTCAGAAAGGTAAAATATCTATAGCTCTGCAAGCTGACTGGGTAGAACCAGCTTGTCCCTTTTCCAAAAATGACCAAGAAGTTGCTGACAGAATTTTAGAATTTGATATTGGCTGGCTTGCAGAGCCCATCTTTGGGAATGGTGACTACCCACGCATGATGAGAGGATGGCTTCACCAAAGAAACAGTGTTGACCTGTATAATTTCCACTTGCCTTATTTCTCAGAAGAAGAAAAGAAGTTAATCCAAGGCTCATTTGACTTTTTTGCCTTAAGTCACTACACTACTACCCTTGTGGGCTGGGAGAAAGAAGATGCACTAAAATATGATCACTATCTTGAAGTTCAAATGATCAATGACATCACATGGCTGCACTCTCCTGGGCGAGCTGCAGTGGTGCCCTGGGGATTGCGTAAATTGCTCAAGTGGGTTAAATCAAAGTATGGTGATGTCCCAGTATATATTATGGCTAATGGAATTGACGATGACCAGAATATGGTGTATGATAAGCTCAGAGTATATTACATACAGAATTACATCAATGAAGCTTTAAAAGGTAAGGAACTGTTGATGGTTTATGTGCCACAAATCCCAGTATTAGTATACCCTATGTGATAAGAGTATGCTTTACATAAAGAAAAAATTGCCCATAGTACTCTGTAAATTAAATGTTGTTATAGCATAGCATATATTTTTTCATTATTTGGCTTATAAACGATTTATGTTATTAAGCGTCAAGGAGACAGATTTTGCACATACTCTGCTTAAAGTGGCAGAAGAACTTTTTATGTTGATTCAAGAGATTTAAATAGAAGTTGTATGAAAAACTCCACATGTATTTAGTCAGATTTTCTTCTTACTGCACTTCTGCTATTGTTTAGCTGTGTTGCTTCCCACTCTACTGATATGCCCCGGGGGTGGGTATGAGTTCTGTACCTCAGCTGTCTCTGTATCTTATCCAACAGTGATCTTGGCTGTTGGTAATAATTCAGCTATCTACCTTATTGTGCCATTTCCTGGACTCTTTCCTGCTATTCAAAGCTCAAAACAGTCTTTCTTTCTGTCTCAAAGATTCATAAATTATAAGGCAAAAAGAGGGCATTTTGAGTCATCCTGACATAGAAACACAGATTTTTTTAGAAAAGCACCAGTCCTGAAAGAGGAACCTTTACTGATAAAGAATCTCTCTGTAAGCTGTTGCAGTGCCTAGGTAGCTGCTGTTTATATGTGTATGTGTGTATCGATATCCATAAATCTTACTTCTAGCATTAATTTTTTTAGCTTCAGCTTTAAGCCATTAAGTTTTGTTATGTATTTGCATCTATTGCTTACGTAGGTATTCACAGGGAGAAAACAAGCTACCTCTCACTCTACTCTTTGATAACTAATGCAGACAAAGCTCTTTGTGTCCCTTACTGTAAACATGATTTGGAACCTTTTGATTACTGAAATCTTTTCCAGTTTGCCATCATTCTGCCTGAAGTATGTAAATCCCAGACCTGGACACGCAGTTTGTATGACAGTCATACTTATGTCCGAGGCAGGTAAAATCGCTCAGCTTTTAAACTGCTCTTTTGTACGCTAAAGCAGCCTCCTAGCCATGGCAGAAGATAGGTCGCACACTCTGTGATTATCTACTGTGATTTGAAGCTCCCGGGCAGATCCCTGCCCTCAGTGCAGAACTCCTCTGAAGTGACGCATGGCCTTCTTGTCCCTTGACGTCCTTACATTTGGCCATATCCAGTGCAAGTTGTTTGCTTGTGCCAAGTATGCTACGCTAGCTAGAATGCGTCCCTGATCTTTATGTTATTTGCAGACTTTTGTTTCAGGTCAGTGAAATATTTAAAATCACGAAATGCCTTGGTGCTAAGAGAAAATCTCTACATGCCCATGGAAGAAAAACCCTTGCTGTAACGTTTCCTCATCTGCAATTACATTTCTAGACCTATCAGTTTTAACTGAGACCAGTGGAAAGCTGTTTATTATGGGTTATGGGTCTGCCCTGATCTCGTAACATTCTATTTTCTTGATCCAAATGCCTTGTAATACCTAGTAAACTGCCTTATGAAGTTCTAAGTATATTACATCAAACGTCATTACTTCTGTTGATCTACTGATCTCATAAAAAAAGATGCCAAGATAGCTTGACAATATTTATCTTCCGTAAAGCTAAACTGATTGGCATTAAACATAAATGTCTACTGTGATTCTTATTTATCAAGCCTTATATTCCACCATTTTGCTAGGGTGTGAAGTATGGCTGACAGTTCCATAGTTTCCTAGGTAATCCTGTCCACTCTTTTAAGTGTCATCAGCTTTAACTTCCTTCTCTGGAATTTCCACCTCTTTCAGGAATTAGTAAAATCAGCATTAAGGGTCCAGGAGTTCTTCCTCCTGCATTTTGAAGCTCTGGAGTGCATGCTTTCTGGATCTGCAGAGTCAAAAACATATCTTGGATATTTTTAGGCCTGTGGTTTCAGTGTGGTCTTTTTGTAGTGCTTTCTCCCCACCACTTTAGGCTGTATCAGTTCTTGGCATTTCTATTTTCAAAGTGTGTATGAATCTGAGCTTTTCTCCCAATTCCAAATAGCCAAAAAACCTGCATATCCCCCTGTTTTTTAAAGAACTTTTCTTTTGCATAGATATGGTATTAGTTTCACTAATCACTTGACTTCTCCCCTTTTCTATTCATTCTGGAAATAGTTACTATATTTTTCAATTTAAGCATTGCGTATAAGCCATGCTTTATTCTTTCCACCTTCTTTGTTGTGAGCGAATATATCCCTGCAAACCAGCCACAATACTTGCCCAAAAGGTCACTCTTCCGCATTTGACATCACACCCTCCTCCGCAGGGTTTACTTAGGCAGTAATACCAGCTTTTTCATGCTTTCTTTTCTTCTCTCGCTCTGGCACTGTGCTTTTTTCCATCCTGTCCTTACACATGGAACAAGCTCTTAATCTTGGCATCATGACGGATGGAGATTTCTCCAAAACGTGCATTTTTCCTGCAAGACCTGTGTACTAACGCACAGGAGTTAAAAAATCTTCTGTCCTTTCCTCAGTGTCACACTGGAGAGAAATGTGAAGAGGTGTTGGTACACATATGGTCTCACCTTCAGTTTCGTACTCTACCTTTTTCCTCCAGCTGGTTTGTGGAACTGTACGTGGAAGCATTGGGGCATATAATGTTGCTCACCTGCATTGTTCCAGGGGAGCCAATAGGTTTATGCAGATAAATGATTCCAGAATGCAGTACAGGACCCTTTGGAATGAGGCTATATTTTTAAGTGTTTGGTGCAGTGTTTAAGTACATCTTTGCCAACTGAAAACAAAGAACAGCAGTAACCATTTATGTAACACCATTACATGCAGTTTTACAAACACAAACTAATTATCCCTGGTAGCAGCTCTCTGAAAGGGCAGGTAAATATTACTTCATTTCACACATGAAAGGTGGGTTAGAGTTGCTAAGTGCCTTGCACATGTTGGCAGAAAGAATTATTTTTACAGGGAGTATGAAAATTCAGCAATAGTTAGCTTTCAGTCGTGTATATATGCTAGAAGATGTTGCTTTAATTTGTACAAAATAGTGATTTTAAGGGATAAAGTATTACACTTTGCCTTTATTACTGTAGACTGCTTGGTTTTGTTGAGCAAGACTGATGGCTCAAGGTTAATGCTGCTGCTGCTAGACTTCTTCCAGTAGCCAGTTAAGCAGTATGGATTGTGAACATGTTCTCAGTAAAGAGTAACACAGGTCCTCTTAGATCAGAAACTCAGGCCAATAACCAGAGAGGCCTATGATCTGCATGACCTTTCCACTTGCACTGATGGTATTCCAGGATATGAGCTCAGCATTGGCACGTGTCTTTTCCTGACGTCAGTGTACATTTGCTAGTCAGAAGTGCAGCCTATTGTCCTCCGTTCCTCAGCCTTCCCACTCGGGAGATTGTCTGCAAGGGAGAAAGAGCAATCAGAGAAACATAAAGAAAGTGTGCGGAAAACTGAAATGAAAAATAGTAAGAGAGCTATCTTTTCACAAGAGGCTCCAGGCTGATCATTAAACAGTCATACCGTCATTGCTTTGTATACTAAATATAAGGGAATAAATTATAGGGCACCCTCAGATCAAACTACCCGGCAATGTTTGGCAAACTCTTACTTTTTATGACAAATACTGCATGGATGTGTGTATACACTGCCTTATCTTTGGGAGGAGAGTGTGGATCTGCGTTTGACATCCCCTTGTGCTTGCTTTGTGTACTGGCATATTACACCGCTCTAGAATGCCGAAATGACTTAAATTCCTTTCTTTAACACTTTGTTTTGTTTTGCAGCTTACACCCTGGATAATGTTAACCTACAAGGATATTTTGTGTATTCTTTTAATGACAAGACTGCTCCTAAATATGGTCTCTACAGTTATGTTGCGAATCAATATGAACCAAAGCCTTCTATGAAACGTTACAGAGAAATAATTGACAAGAATGGTTTTCCTAGACCTGAAACTCCTGATGTATTGTGCCCTGAAGAGATTGTCTCGTGTCCCGAATGCCACTTTTTCCGAACCAGAAAATCATTATTAGCCTTTATAGCTTTCATATTTGTTGCTTTTATTGTTACTATATTCCTCATTAGTTACTATTCCAAAAGGGTAGAAAGACGGTATAAATAGAGCTGTCCATCTATATACACTTACTACCTTTCTACTTGCATCCCCTTGGAAAACCTGAATAATAGCACACAATGTTGTGATTGGCTTCAGCACGTGGAAGCCAATAATGCTGCCTGAAACTGCAGAACATGGACAGTGAAAAAAAGATGGTTAGCATATGGCCTACAGAAATCATTTTCTGTGGTTTAGTACGTTTGGTTTGTGACAAGTCCTTAATTCCTGTGGTTGGAGTTACCTCACAACTTTCGTTGGGATCTTTTGTTGAGCAAATGCTTTTCCCTCATTGGTTTTCCTTCACTGACTTTGATAGATGCAGTTTTTGAAGACCTGGAACAACAGAAGAGCCTGGATGTCAAATTCTCAGAGAAAAGATTGGGGAGAAACAAAATAATTTACTTTTCCAAATTAGGAATAAGTCCTGATGTTAGATGATCGGAGCCAACACCTGCTGAATAGGGAATGGGACTGCGTGGAAACTAAGCAGAAGTACCTGGCATGCCAAATGGGAAAGGGACGGCCCTGCTGCTCAAGCAGGTCTGGGGTGAAGAACAGGGGACTCCAGTCTCTGCTCTGCTGGGGACTCTCAGTAGACCCGTTAACTATGAATCAGATTGCTGATTCTCCACCAACTTCACATTGTTGCTGCTGCACCACAGACTGCTGCTGAGACCGTTCTGAGTGCAACGCAGCACTGCCTGCTTTGTTGGACGGAGGGTGTTGTTCGTGGGCAACCTCAGCGCAGGCAGCTCTGCCCTCCCTGGCCTGGGAGATGCCGATGGACAGCAGGGAGCATGCTGGCTATGGGGAAGAGAGAGGAAGAATGAAACTGCCTTTGTTTGATTTGCTCGGTAGAAAAGCAGACAGCAGAGACTGGGATGTCTTTGCTGTCTCAGCTGTCAGGGAAATTGTGGACCTGAGCCCGTGGACAGAGCCGAGGCGGGATGCCCTGTCCGTGCACTTCTTGCAGCAGTAGTTACCCACAGCTGGAACTGAGCTGCTGCCTCACTGCTAGCATGCTGGAAACTTGTGTGTAGTTTAGGAAGATGATCTTTGCATGTAAGTAATGTTGAGCATGCAGACTTTAAATCCCAACATTTTAGTGTAATAATCCAGTGCTCTGTTGCTGCTTTTGCCATGGTATGAGACCTCGAAACTGTTGCTTCTGAAGCATGCTGTTTGTTTTCTGTTAGCCATTTCCAAGTTCTTCTGGAGGGTCTCCTCTGAGAAACTAGATCTGACCCTGACAGCACTTGATTCCCAAGTTATTACTGAATGTTTGTGGGCTTTTCAATTTTTCTCAGCGAAATAAATTAGCAAAATATTAGCAATATGATTGTTAGTAGAAATGGAGACTAGAATAAAACACTACATCATTTTGCCTGTCTTGTGTATCACTGCATTAGGAGCGTCGACTGTATAAAGTGGTGTGGTCTTGTTTCTCCTTTCTCTGTCTTTAGGCCTGCATTGCCTTCAGCTGTTACTGTATTTGTATTGCCATGTGAATAACGTCAGTCACTGGAAAGCACTTCTTAAGCAAATATGCTCTATGTCAATTAAGAATTATTTATCTACCAAAGCAGATTATACTATTAAATGTGATGTTTATCTACTAGATGACTAGTAGATGACTAAATGACCTCCCAAGGTTCTTTCCAACCTGAATGATTCTACAATTCAGTAATTCTATGCTGTAAATTAAAACTTACATATGAAATATGATTTCCACTTGTAACTTAGATTATATTTATTGTTAAGTGAACTATAAAAATAGAAAAGAATTATTATCTTATCATAACGATTAATATATTTACCCTTTAATTCCAGATTTAAAATCATCTCTCTTTGCACTAATATATATTTTACTGTCAAGATTAAGGTGAAAAATTCAGGGTAAGTGATTAAGTATTAAAAAGTATATGAAAATTATATATAGCCTGATAGGATTTGCTGAGGAAGAGCAAATTTTAAACTGCTATATATTTATGTATTACTGCCTGGTGCAGTGTGGCTTACAAAGAAATAGCTCTCCCCAAGTATATGAAATGTCAAATGGCTTTCTCCATGTTACGGCAGTGAATCACCTTGCAGTACATTTACTTCATTGTGTCAGATGCCATCACAATACATAACAAAAAATGACATTCATTTAACATAAACTTTGGCCAAGGTCATATATAACTTTTTCCATTACATTATTTTGCCATTGGTGAAACAGGAAGTCTAGGCATAATCCTTTTGAATAGCTGAGTGCATGCCTCTCCCCTTGGTTTTCCTGGGTTCAGTGGGTCTGGGCTGAACCTCCCCAGCCTGGCAAGTCCAGAGCAATATGGGTGCCATCCTGACGGTCACCAGAAGTGTGCTTGGGTCATGCTGACACTTTACTAACAATTAATCATCCAGCAAGTGAATGTCGTGCATTGTTTAATAGGCCCGTCACAGAGCAGCGTGCGAACCCAGCAGTCCTAGCAAGGAAGAGATACTGCAGGCTCTTCTGACACACTGGCTGGGTGATATGTAGCCACCGACAGGCAGATGGCACCAGCTGGATATCTAATTTGCAGATAAATTGGGACTTGTTACTGTGAAGCCGTATTCTCCCATACAGTAATGGTGCCGTGGCCCATAGAAATAACACAGCTGCTGGTGTTCTTCCCTTCAGAGGAGTTTTTAAATGTCACTGCAGAACAGTTACCGCCTGGATTTGGGTACGATAATTTGCCAAAGTATTCTCCTAAGCAATCTGCTGACAATATTGTACATGCAAAGCAACGCGTAACTCAGTGAATTAATTCTACAATGATGGGCCAAGCAAAATACAGGCCGCTCTGATGGAGATAATGGTGTGGTTTTGCCTCAGGAATCTACTTGGTTGTATGTAATCACGGTCCGGTGTGAGTTTCTTGTCGATTTTCTTAGGAAAAATCACCCCACTACAAACAACAAAAAAGCCCTTAAATAGGCAGAGATTAGATACCTGTCCAAAGAGCACTGCACTGTGCGTGTGCAAACTGATTTGGTAATCACCTCCTTCAACGAGGACACACACCACAAGGCCTTTCTTTCTTGCGATACCTATCTGTGAATGATGATCTGGCACTTCGCTGTGACCATCTGTGCATCTCGGGAAGCAACGCCGACAACAGCAAAGATTTTAAACAGAGAATGCTCCATACTCAAAGGAAAAAGACAGCTCAAGAGAGCGTGGTATTTTATTTTCTGAAGAGTCACAGGAGTATGCATGTATAACAGTGGGTGTCAACATGCCGTATGATAAGTAGACTCATGTCTTGGTTTTAATTGTGCTTCTAGAATGTGGTGGTGCGAGTTTGCTCAGTGCTCCAAATTTAACATGTTGTAGATAAGAACATTATATTTTTATTCAAAATATTTTTGTGACATGAGTGCAAAGCTTCTATTTTATTTCTTGAAGAAGATTGAACAGTGAATGTCAGGAGAATGTCTTGGCTAAATGAATGAAAGAATTGTATATTGTTTTTATACAATCTGAGAAATGAAATAAAGATATTGTACATAAATTGTAACATAATCTTTATTTTTGATCTCTCGAGTTTTCTGTTTGCAACAAGAAGTATACAGTACAGGAGAGGTTCTTGTGATAATGCCGTAAGGAGTTTGTGTTGCTGTTTGTTTTTCCAGTGCCACATAAATAACTGTGACTTTTGTCGGAGACTGGTAGAGACTAGGCTTATGTCTAAACAGAGGTTTTCCTGTCAGAGCTATGTCACTGGGGCTTTAGAAGTTTTTTTTTTTGTTCTTTGTTTTTTAATGGTTGGTTGGGGTTTTTTGAGTGTATTTTGCTAAAAAAAAAAAAAAAAAAAAAAAAGCCTGTGGAAGTAACCATACCAATATAAAAGTGTTTTGGTGCAACAGCTTATTCCATTAGTATTACTGCAATAAATTCTACAGCTCTTCTATTACAGCAGAGTTGACCACAGCCTTGTAGGATTTTGTCAGCATAGTTGTGGCAGTAAGCAGTAAGTTTGTGGCATATTTATTAAACATCCTAAGGAAAGTAAATGTCAAGGTTAAAAGAAGTGGGAGCAGAAAGGGAAAAAGAATAATGAATCAGACAGGGGCCATACAAGTGTCAAAATCTTTAAATACACAACTCGTGATTCGCTTTTCTTGTGTTGTATTATTTTGCTTTTGAGGTGCTTAGAGAATTCATTCTGTTCCTTCTGCTTCAAAAATCTCTTAGGTGGGAATACCCTTATTAAGGAGGAAGAAGTCAGTTTTAGGTGCTGTATTTCAACTTCAGCTAAGAAAGTTCAGTCTTTTTCCTTCTTCAGTCCTACAAAGCTGAGAAGAGGAGGCAAGGAAAAGAAAGGGGAAATCTGTTCCTGGCTTCGGTCTGGCACTCTTAGCTTGCCAAGGCAGTCTTAGCCAACCATTACAAGGTTGGGCTGGTGCTGGTTGGTTGCCCCCCCCCTTTTAAAAGATTAAAAAGGAACAGTAAGGTGAGATGAAACTGGCAGAGTCAGATATATCAGAGACTTTTATTTTGTCTGCTGGGTTGAACAAGAACACCACTCTGTGTGTCAGGCAGTTCTAAGAAAATTAAATTCATTAAGAAACCAGAAAGTTGAAATAATAGCAGTCTGCAGCCAAGACACTTGTGGGTGGTGACATTTTGCTGGCTATTATTTTGTGATGCTTTGTGTGTTTGTGAAGGAGAGGAGAAAGGGCCAAAGAAGTGGAGAGAAGCCAGGGAAAAAGTTAATGAAGCAGGGCAGGAAAGCCAAAGGCGCAAGAAGATGCGTGAGTTCCTCGCCCGGAGAGCACAGAGAGAACAATCCCCTGGCAAGCGAGGGCCCCCTTAATGGGCCATGGGACTTTGAATAGTCTTTGTTAAAAAGATAATAAAATTTAAAAAAGAGGAAATAATCTGAAAAATGCCTACATTCTTCATATTTGCTCTTAATAGATAAACCTGCTACATGATGAATTTTTCTGCAGGTGAAAAGGCTTTTTCCTTGTCTCCAGAATTACTGGGAACACCGCACAGCAAAGCATCATTATCCAATTCCAGCTCTCCTGGTCTCAGCAAAATGTGTTTCTGGCCCAAGTCCCAGGAGGCCCTCAGGTGTCTGAGGTGCAGGGAGAAGCTAGGCACTGACAGGCTGAAGCGATCAGCATCACCGTCGAGCTAAGCGAAACGGCAGTAGTGACGATGAGGATATTCTCTAAATACTGCAAATTCATATCAGATCCTATTA